CGAGGTTGTTCTGGATGTGTCGATGGCGGCGGGGGGCCGCAGCCGAGTGGCCAGTCTTCTCCGCAAAGATCGCCTTCCTCGCGAAGAGGCTGGGCGGCGCGCGGCCGATGCCCTCACCCATGTTTTAGCTTGCGTTCAGGCGCGGTTGTGCCGACCGATCGCTCAGGAGTGGGAGCGTCGGAACTATCGGCCTTACTTCTGGGCCTCCAAAGGGCGATCGCACGATCGAGCGGTCTGGCACCATACCGATTGGTCCGAGCACGCGAGCACTAAGGCACGGAAGACTGCTAAGGTTGTGTGGGCGCCAGGCATGGCGCTGCTAGATTCGATGAAAGCGTTCGAGCAGGCGGGGCGTCATTGGTTGATGGAGGCGGCAGTTGCGACACAGTTCCATCTCTGGCAGCTGAAGCTGCAGGTCGCGCTCAACAGTGCCGAGCGATACTGTTGCATAGGCCCGGCTGTCTCCGAGCCGCTAGAGGTCGAGCAGACCATTTTGCCAGGCGATGGATGGGCCTCCTGTTTTCGCAAGATGTCATTTCCACGGCCTCTCGATCAAGTTCATGGATTGCATCGCACTGTTACTCCCATAGTTATTGTCGACGATATCCTACTGCACCGCATCGGGGGCCAGGAGAGGGTCACTAGGGAGCTCGCGCAGGCTGCGAAGTCGCTCCAGAAGGCCCTAGCTAGCATTGACATCCGCATACACGCGGACAAAACCAGGGTGCTGCGCAATGAAGAGCCTGTTCGACATGTCGTCGCCCGTCGCTTGCGCCGCGACCTCGGGGCCCTCGCTGCCCCGCAGAAGCGGAACTTGGGCATCGATTTCTCTTGTGGGCTGCGGCTCGGACGAGCTGTGCGAAGGTCTCGGCATCTTGGAGCGCGCCAACGTCTGAAGCGAATGGGCATCATTAGGACTGGTTTCAAAAAGCGTTTGGCCGTGAAGACAGTTTCTCGAGCGGGCCTAGAGGCCAGCATGTGTTTTGGATGGGGCGTCACTGGATGCCCGCCCAAGGATCTGGACACGGCCCGCAGCACAGCGTTTGCTGCCCTGGCTGGCACGACAGCTGGCAAGTCCAGGGTCCCCGATGCTATTGTTGGAGCGTGGTTCGGATCCCGTCATCCGCGCCACGCTGGTGCCTGTGCTCACGCAGTGCCGCGCTATCTGGGAGGGACGGGTTCCGTCGCACGTCGTTCGCGATGGGATGGGGGGAAGTCTGTCGGCCAGGCATTGGACCCAAGCCAACGGTCCCTTCAGCGCACGCATGCTCACGCTTGACAGGATTGGCTGGAGTGTTCGTTCCCCTTCTGTGGATAACGCACGCTGGCGTCGAGCTAGATCTTCAGCGCGCGTGTCCCTGGGTAGTCGGCCAGCATTTGAGGCGCGCGGCTGCTGCATGGCAGTGGCGCCAAGTTGCTAAGGAGCCTGGAGTGGGGGACGGTTTGGGATTCGCTCGTTCAGCTTTTAAATTCAGGCCGGCCACGACCCCACCAGAATCGCAGGCTCGCCACTCTCAGTCGCGAGGCTCGTGGGTACCTACGGTCCGTCATTGTGAATGGGCAGCGGCCTATGGTGAGGAAGCATGCATCCAATCTCGCTGCGACTAGTGCCTGTGTCATATGCGGCGAGCTTGGTTCACTCCTGCATCGCCACTTTGAATGTGCATGTGGGCAAAAGATTCCGCGCCCCGACGCGTCTCAGGTTCTTCTTCAGGCGCAGGCCCGTCAGCCCGTGCGCCTTGTGCTCGAGCGCTCTCTCTGGCCCCTCACGCGATCGGAGTGGCGCCCGCCCGTGCAGGGGCACATCGCGCGGCGGAAGCACCAGGGGTCTGGGATCTTGGTGGCTCGGGAGGCGCACTTGGTTGGTTCCGCCTATGAGGCTCAGTGGGGCCACGGTCACGTCTTGAGCCGTTGTAACGTTGTATCCTGAGGAGCCGAACGGGGCGCAGGACTTTGCATATTGCACTTGCGCGCAGGAGGCCTTGATGTCGACGGGGCCGAGCTGTCTGCGCTCATTGGCCTCCTTCGCATCGCTGCCCCGCCGATCACAGCTGCCACGGATTCAGCTTTCGTTTTCCTAGGGGTCACCGAGAGCGGGCGCCAAGCCACCACTGCGTACAAGGCGGCTTGGGCATCTCTCTGGACACAGTTTTGGCGGTTGCTCGACGATGTCGGAGGTTTGTCCGAGAGCGGTTTGAGCATTCGCAAAGTCAAGGCCCATCGCAGCATGGAGCACGTTGGTCGTGGTCGGATCAGCCGTCGGGATCGCTTTGGAAAATTCCCTGCTGACATTTGGGCCAAACACGCAGGCCGTCGAGGTCGAATGCCTACCGGGGAAAGGACTGGGTTTCTCCGTGCCCAGCAGCTTGTCGAACAGGTTGCGCACAGGATCAGCACGCTAGGTGTGCATGTCGATGCGCGTGACACGATGCATGTGTGTAAGAGGCAGCGCGTTGCACGCGCTCCTGTGTTAGATGTTGTGGCCCCCACCCTGTGCCACGAATGCCGTGGCCCCCCTCGCCGTCGCTGGTGTATCCGATGTCGGCTCGTGTCGCCTGCCTCCGCCGTTTGCGGTGGCTCGATCGTCAGCAAGGCGCTGGAGGCCAGCCGACGCTTGCGAGGGGAGGGAAGGAGGGAGCATCAGTTGGTCGAGCTTCGGGTGGAGGAGGACCTTCTGGAGCCAGGCCAACCTGTTGTCGCTTGTCTCGTCTGCGGTGTGCATGGGGCCCGTCAGATGAAGAGCCTGGATGTTGAGTGTCGCGCCCCTGGCAGCTATGGAGCGAAAGCCCTCCGCCGACTTGCCCAGGGGCTCCTGCCCGGCATCCTGAAAGCTGAGATCCCTGCTCAGCTCGTGCGCCTGGACTTGGACTGAGTTGTTTCCTGTTGTGGCCCTCGGGCGGAGGCCCCAATGCGTCGGGAAGAGGAAGAAGAGGAAAGCAGGAAGAGGCACAGCCGGTGCGCCCCTGGAAGCCTCTGGTGGCGACCATGAGGTCCTGTTCGAGGAGCGTCCAGGGGTCAATCCGCCACCAAGGGAGCACCTGTTCCAAATCCGAGCTCAGAAGAACTCGAATTGGAGCGCGCCGAAGGCGAAATTCTTCCATGGCAGGGAGGGGGCAAAGGGGCCGGCGGCCACCACCCCAACGGGCTTGGCACCCTCGCCAACCCTGCCGCTGCCTCGCCCCCCCCGCGCTGGCGCCGGCCTCCGCCGCCGGGCCTCCGCGAGATCCTGGAGCGACTTGCGCGGCATGCGCTCGGGGCGAAGCGCGGAGTCGGCCTCCGGGGCGCCCACCCACGCGAGGCCCGCCGCGAGCAGCGCCGCAAGATCTGCGCCCTTCGCTCCGCCAGCCGCCGCCGCCGCCGCACCACCGGCAGCCGCCGCGGCCTCTGCACGGACCCTCCAGGGCACCGCGCGAAGAGGAGGGAGCAGCCGCGGCCGACGGGGCGGCGGGCCGCCCGGCATCCGCCCGACGAGTCGGCGGGCAGCCCGTCCTCCTCCATGGCGTCGTGGGCCGGCCAGGCGCCCGCGCCCACTGCGCCAGCAGCGGGGGGCGCCTCCGCGGCGCGCCGTGCCGCGAGGCGGCGTCGGCGCCAGCGCCGCCCCGCTTTCGCCTCGGGCGCGGTGGGAGGGGCAGCAGGTAGCGATAGAGCAGCAGCAGCAGCAGCAGCAGCAGCAGCAGCAGCAGGCGCGGCCGTTGCCGTCGGCTTCGGCCACTCCCCGCACGCGAAGGGCCCCGCGGAGATGACCGAGCGAGGGACGGCAGCAACCGTGCGCCGAGGCGCCCCAGACACCACCGCGGCCCGCAGGGCTGCCTCCACGGGAGAGGCGCCGCTGGCCGAGGAAGCCCCTCCACGCCCCGACGTCCAACCACCGAGCCCCAGCCGAGGAGGAGGAGGCGCGCGCAGGCGAGGCCGCGCGGTCGCTTCAGCCACAAAGGGGTGGGAACGGGACGAGGAGGAGGAGGAGGAGGAGGAGGAGGAGGAGGAGCAGGTTTTTGATTGCCTCGCCTGCGGCCCGGGAGCTCCAGAAGCGGCGCCCCGCACATTGCAGAGCACGGCTGCGTCAGAAGAGCGGGCACCGACAGGAGCGACCGCCATCCGACACCCAAGAGAGATCTCGGACGGCGCACGCCCCGCCCCCGCGGGGACCGCACGACCCAGAAGACCCGAGAGCCAGAGAGCCCGAAGCCCAGATACCGAGCCCGGGGCCCAGACGCCCCAGAGAAACCTCCTCCTCCCTCCTCCTCCTCCTCCTCCTCCTCCTCCTCCTCCCTCCTCCTCCTCCTCCTCCTCCTCCTCCTCCTCCTCCTCTTCCTCCTCCTCCTCCCCCCTCCATTCCTTTACCTTATGAAAAACTCCTCCCTGTCGTACCCCGAGGCCGGTCGGAAGGACGGGCCGGGCGTTTCGCCAGAGACGTCCTTTCCATCATGTAGGATCCTGAAGCTTACCTGGAGCCTCAAAATCGACAACAGCTTCACACATCGGGGCAGGTCGCTTCCAAAATGTGGCTCTCGCCCTAGCGCCGCGCACATGTATTGAGGGCGAGTGGTTTGCAAAATGTGGCTCTCGCCTTAGGGCGCCGCGCACACTCGTCTTAAAAACTTGCAAGAGCTTCACGGATTGAGGGCGGGCCGTTTTCAGAAGATGGTTCTCACCTTAGCGCCGCGCACATCAGCTACAAACACAGAAAGATTTCACCGATTGAGGGCGGGCCGTTTTCAGAATGTGGCTCTCGCCTTAGCTTCGCGCACAGTCGCTTTAGAATTTAAAAAAGTGCAAGGCGTTCACAGATTGAGGGCGGCTCCTCCCCTCCTCGGCCTCCTCAGCCTCCTCGGCCTCCCTACTCTGAACTCCCCTCCTGCTCAGCCTCCGCCTCCACCTCGGCCTTGTCCGACTCCTCCCTCCTCGGCGACGACGACGACGACGACGACGTCGACGTCGACGACGTCGACGATGGCGGCGACGGCGGCGACGGCAGCGGGCGCACGGGCCACAGGGAGCGCCTCGGCGGTCGGCGGCCCGGTGGCGGGCACGTGCGCGAGGCACACGTCGCTGGCGGGGCCGGGGACGGGCCTGGCGCTGTGGCGCCACCTGCGGGGCGCGGCCCACGAGGACAAAGCCAGGACGAGGACAAAATCGGGCGAGGATACATCGAGAGCCCCTGAGATCTGGCGGCCCTGGAGGATGTGTCGGGCGCCGCAGCCTTCTCGGATTAATCCTCGTCCTGGCCCCGTCCGATATACGCCGACACCGATCTTGGCCAGGCTCATCATGGGCTTGGGATCGGTGGACATACCTCTTGCCCGGGATCGATATATGCGCCTCCCTGCCACAGCCAGGAGGGCGTATACGCCGGTCCGGGGTCCAGGACCTGCCTGGCCAGGAACAGTGTCATAGGTGCGCAGCTGGTGCCCTCCGAGAGGCGACCCGTCAGTGACAAGCCCCTGCCGTGACAGCCCTCGATCGCCCTGTCGAGGAGGGGCCCCCCCGAAGGCCAACCACCGTTGTCTGAACTGGCCCTCCCCTGAGAACGAGTAGAGGGGGCCGCCTGAATCGGCCGCTCTGAAACGGCACGTCCAGCGCGGCCACGTAGTCGGCGCCGTCCAGCCGCACGCGCACCCACTGCAGCGCCCTCCACCCCAGCACCGCGTGCTCGTCGACCTCGCCACGGCCCTGGAGCTCCAGCTGGCCGCAGCCGTCGCCAGCGGCCGCGATCGCCGGCCACGCCAGAAGCACCGAAGAGCCCTGCCAGCGGGTACTACTCTCTTCCAGCTCCTCGATCGGGCGGCGACGGCCATACCCTGAGACCCTGGCTTTGCGACTTTTCTCGCCGTGTGCTTTCGCTGGTTTTTCGGGCCCCATGACCATCACAGATCGATGCAGCTAGAAAGATGACGTAGGAAGATGTGGTCTAGGGCTCCAGTCGTGATTTTTCGCGGTGTCGCATTGTTTCGCAACGTCGGATCTCAGGGTATGCTCACGCCAGCACTGGTCCTGGCCACCCCACCCTTCTCAGCCCTTTCGGCCGCCCAACGGGATCACAAGGTCGAGCCCACTTGGCGGCCGAACCAGCTCAGTCCCCACGGCGCTGCCGGAACTGGGTTCAGGCTCAGACTCCGGACGGGCTCGGAAAGGAGCCCTGTGGCAGGACAGGCCGGTGAAAACGCCCTCCTGGCCAGGCCAGGATCGGTATCGGCGTGTGTACGTCAGGCTCGTGCCGTGACGATCCCGGCGTTGGCTTCTGACACCGCGTGGATCGTTCAAGCCTGAACGATCGGCGTTCCTTCGATGGCCGGATCGTTCCAGCTAGGCCGACTCTGGGCCACTGGCGGCGTTCAACCTTGAACGCCCGCGGCGAGGTCGCTGCCGCGTCGGCGCGTGTCGCGAACCCACCGCAGTCTGCGACACTCGATCCTGGGGCACGGCCGCCTGCTCCGGAGCGGGCAGGGCCCGGTCCACCTGCATGGACCACTCCTCGCACAGCCGCTCGTGCCAGTGGAATGCGGACGAGCGCCCGACCTCCACAAAGTGGGCCGGCGGGAAGCCGAAGAGCTCGTGCCGGGCGGCCAGCAGGAACTCGTAGTCGCGCCCTGGCTCGAAGCCCTGCACGGCCACCTCGAGCCGCGAGCAGGGCCGGTGCTCCTGGCCGCACGGCGGCCACGCATCCTCTCGGCAGCCACATGCGAACCCTCCCCGTGCAGGCTTCTGAAAAAAACGTCCTGGGTTCCGATTTTGAACGAGGCCTGCAGCCGACAAGAAGCCCAGCGAGGGCGTCCAGTGCTCAAGCGTCGCGTGGGCCCGCGTTCGCAGGCGGTCGCAGATCCTCGCGATGCAGCGCCAGGAGCTGCTCCACGGGCTGGCCGGCCTCGCCATCGGAGCGATCGCCAGCGGCGCAGCGCATGGACACGCGGAACTCGACCGGGACGTGGCCGAAGTCGCACACGACCGGATCCCACTCCAGCGTGACCTTCCTCGACCCTCGATCCTGGGCCATCGGCCCTCGATCCCTCGGGGGGGGGAGGGGGGGGGCAGAGAGGTACCGATGCAGCTGCTCCCCAGACCACTCCGAGGGTGGGTTCTGTCAAGGGCTTCGAGACGAATCCAGCCGTGGCGGAGAGGGCCGCCTCCAAGAGGCCAAAAACGAGGGGAGGGTGTTGATATCGGTACCCCTTCCTCATCTGACCTCGACCCTCCAGGCGCGACCTTCCTGTTCAGCACCCGCTCGGTCTCTCGAGATGTCTGCCTTTTGGGCCATGGTTCGGATCTCCCGCGTCCGATCGGGATGATCCGGGCGACTCCGGAGGGCTCTCGACGGGGCGCGGCTCTTGGAGAGCATCCCGAGCCGAGAAAAACGCCGAGGCCCAACGCAAACTTCCTCCCCGAAGTCCATCTCGAATCGAATCGACCCTCAACCCTCCATTGGCGACCTTCCTGTTCAGCACCCGCACGACGCGCAGCTCGGCGCGGGGGCAGCTCAGCGGCGGCACGTCCACCGCCAGGGGGCTGCCACCCGGGCTCCACGGCGACCAATGCGGCGGGATCCCGACCCGCACGGAGAATGTGTAGCTGCGCCCCAGCTCGAGCGCCGGTGGTTCCAAGAGGGGGCCCCGAGGCATGCAGCCATTGGTCGGCGGGGGAAAGTGAGAGGAAGGCAGGCCTTCTCTGAGGGCGGCGGAGCTTCTCAGAAGCCCTCACGCCTTCCGAGAAGCCCTCTGTGGCTTCGGGACAAGGCCTAGAAAGCCTCCTCCTCCGCCTCCACACGCCTCCTCCTCTCCTCCTCCTCCTCCTCCTCCTCTCCTCCTCCTCCTCCTCCTCCTCCTCCTCCCTCCTCGCCTCCTCCTCCTCTCCTCCTCCTCTCCTCCTCCTCTCCTCCTCCTCCTCTCCTCCTCCTCCTTCTACTCCTCCTCCTCCTCCTCCTCCTCCTCCTCCTCCTCTCCTCCTCCTCCTCTCCTCCTCCTCCTTCCTCCCTCCTCCTCCTCCTCCTCCTCCTCCTCCGCCTCCTACCTCCTCCTCTCCTCCTCCTCCTCCTTCCTCCTCCTCCTCCTCTTCCTCCTCCTCCTCCTCCTCCTCCTCCTCCTCCTCCTGTCGGGGCCCCGAGGACGAGTGGGATCCCGGCCCTTCATCCCTAGCGCACCCCCGAGAGGGCCCAGCGCCGATGCAAGAGAAAAGCCGCCCGGACCCCCGACGATGGTGTCTGGTCCTGCAGCGTTTCCTCCGTCGACTCTTCTAGAAGGTTTCCAAAAAACCATGCGGTGACGGACCGCGTGGTGACCTCGGCATCTCCGACCACCTCACCCCGCGGTCCGTCACCACACGAGCGACGATCAAAAACGGGTCTCATGCGAGATGACGTAGCGAACTTACGCGGTGGCTTACGCGGGCCGCCAGCGCGGCACGCAACATTGGCAACGAGGGCGCTCACGCGCGACCTCACGCGGGGTCCGTCACCGCATTAGAGGGCTGAAGTCACCCCCATAATAATCACCCCAACACGCGAAGCCGTTGAGTAAACGCACCCACAGAAGGAATCTGACAAGGCAGAGCTGTTTCGTAAACGCCCAGGGCCGTTTTGCAAACGCCAATTATAAAGTCCGGATGGTTTTTCCCAACCATCCTGTGGTGTTGGGTCCTCGTTTTGAAGAGACGGTGGCCCGCGTCTCCTCTCCTCCTCTCCTCCTCCCCCTCCTCCTTCCGTTTCACCCACCCAGCACAGCGTTTCGTAGCCCCATAAGGGAGCTCCACCGAAGGCGCCAGTGGCAGGGTTCGCATGGCGGCCTCGGGCCATTTCGGCACACCCCTCACGAGGATCGTGGCCCCATAGGGAGCTCCACCGAAGGCTCCAGTGGCAGGGTTCGCACGGCGGCCTCGGGCCATTTCGGCACACCCCTCACGAGGATCGTGGCCCCATGGGGAGCTCCACCGAAGGCGCCAGCCGCAGGGTTCGCATGGCGACCTCGGGCCATTTCGGCACACCCCTCACGACGATCGTAGACCCATAAAGGGAGCTCCACCGAAGGCCCCGAGTGGCAGGGTTCGCATGGCGGCCTCGGGCCATTTCGGCACACCCCTCACGAAGATCGTGGCCCCATAGGGAGCTCCACCGAAGGCGCCAGTGGCAGGGTTCGCATGGCGGCCTCGGGCCATTTCGGCACACCCCTCACGACGATCGTGGACCCATAAAGGGAGCTCCACCGAAGGCGCCAGTGGCAGGGTTCGCATGGCGGCCTCGGGCCATTTCGGCACACACCCCACGAGGATCGTGGCCCCATAAGGAGCTCCACTGAAGGCGCCAGTGGCGAGGGTCGCATGGCGGCCTCGGGCCATTTCGGCACACCCCTCACGAGGATCGTGGCCCCATAGGGAGCTCCACCAAAGGCCCCAAGTGGCAGGGTTCGCGCGGCGGCCTCGGGCCATTTCGGCACACCCCTCACGAGGATCGTGGCCCCATGGGGAGCTCCACTGAAGGCGCCAGTGGCAGGGGTCGCATGGCGGCCGGCACGCCCCTCACGAGGATCGTGGCCCCATAGGGAGCTCCACCGAAGGCGCCAGTGGCAGGGTTCGCACGGCGGCCTCGGGCCATTTCGGCACACCCCTCACGAGGATCGTGGCCCCATGGGGAGCTCCACCGAAGGCCCCAGTGGCAGGGTTCGCATGGCGGCCTCGGGCCATTCCGGCACACCCCTCACGAGGACCGTGGCCCCACTGGAGCTCCACCGAAGGCGCCAGTGGCAGGGTTCGCATGGCGGCCCCGGGCCATGTCGGCACACCCCCCACGAGGATCGTGGCCCCAGACTTGTGCTGCTTCAACAACCGCGCCTGGGCGTCGCACTCCGCCTCGTCGACGTGCAACGCCACCTCCTCCCTCATGGCTCTCAAGGCCCTTTCCTGCTTCTGCTCCTCGGTGAGAGGGGCGCCGTCCTCGTCGTCGTCGGCGCCCGCGAAGACGGCCACGAACGTGCCCCTGAGCATGTCGGGCTCCGGCGCGAAGCCGTGGCCACATAGGGAGCGCGGGCGAAGATGGTATTCACAATTGCGGTATTCACAACTGCATATGGTTGGGTCTTTCGCCAGGATAATTCCTTGCTTGACACATGGTCCTGGGACCTCGGAGGCCCCAGTCGCCAGAAGCGTCCTCGGAGAACCACCCGAGGCCCAAAACCGCGCGGTGGCCCCGAAGCCGTTCGGACTCACCACGCGGCGTGGTCACCGCACCGTTCGGGTGGGGAAACCACAATGCATCGATACCACTACTCCCAGGACCTCTCCCGGGGTGCGTTCTGACCAGTATTTCGCGAAGAATCCAGCGGCGGCGACGAGGGCCTCCCAGGAGGCCCAAAAGGGGAAAACGAGGCAACGGTAGCGGTATTGGGTACCCGCCAGTCGGAAGAAGTAAATGGAAACAGGAAGTAGGAAGGCGGATAAAGTCGAGTGGGCTCGGTCCATCCCAGCGGACTAGAATTTCGCATGCGAACGCTGGGAATTGGGCTTTCGGTGGGGCTCACTGCGGGGGCACGAAAAGTGTAAGGGGTGTGTCAAAACGGGTGCGGTGGGCGCATGCGAACGCTGGCATTGGGGCCTTCGGTGGGGCTCCTTATGGGGCCACGAAACGTGTGAGGGGTGTGCCAAAATTGGCGCGGTGGGCACATGCGAACGCTGGCATGTGGGCTTTCGGTGGAGCGGCACTTGGGCCTTCGGTGGGGTTCCCTATGGGGACACGATACGTGTGAGGGGCGTGCCGAAACAAAGACATGCGGAGGGCATAGGCGAGGAGGCGAAGGAGGGAGGAGGGGGAGGAGGAGGAAAGGAGAGGAACGCGGGGAACGCGGGAATGGCTGGGAACAAGAGCTATCCAGGCGAAGGACCCAACCATATGCAGTTGTGAGTACCGTCGCTGGGGGTATCGCCTTCGGGGAATCTCCTCATGGGGTTGGGCGCGTGCGAACGCTGGCATTTGGGCCTTCGGTGGGCGCCCTGTGAGGCCATGACCAAAATGGATGCGGTGGGCGCATGCGAACGCTGGCATGTTTTGCCTTCGGTGGGACTCCCTACAGGGCCACGAAGCGTGTGGGTGGCGTGCAAAAATGGGTGCGGTGGGCGCGTGCGAACGCTGGCAATTGGGCCTTCAGTGGGGCTCCCTATGGGACCCCGAAACATGTGAGGGGTGTGCCTAAATGGGCGCGATGGGTGCAGACATGCGAACGCTGGCATTGGGACCTTCGGTGGAGCTCCCTTTGGGGCCACGAAACGTGTGAGAGGTGTGCCAAAACGGGCGCGGTGGGCGCATGCGAACGCTGGCAGTTGGGCCTTCGGTGGGGCTCCCTATGGGGCCACGAAACGTGTGAGGGGCGTGCCAAAATGTGTGCGGTGGGCGCATGCGAACGCTGGCAATTGGGCCTTCGGTGGGGCTCCCTATGGGGCCACGAAACGTGCGAAGGGTGTGCCAAAACGGGCGCGGCGGGCGCATGCGAAACCTGGCGTTTGGGCCTTCGCCCCGGCGCCACGTGGGGCTTCGAAGCGTGCGAGGGTCGTGCCAAAACGGGTGCGGTGGGCGCATGCGAACGCTGGCATTGGGGCCTTCGGTGGGGCTCCCTATGGGGCATGCGAACGCTGGCATTGGGGCCTTCGGTGGGGCTCCTTATGGGGCCACGAAACGTGCGAGGGGTGTGCCAAAACGAGTGCGGTGGGCGCATGCGAACGCTGGCAGTTGGGCCTGTTCGGTGGGGCTCCCTATGGAGCCCCGAAACGGGTGTGCCAACATGGGTGCGGTGGGCGCATGCGCACGCTGGCAGTTGGGCCTTTTCGGTGAGGCTCCCTTTGGGGCCACGAAACGTGTGAGGGGTGTGCCTAAATGGGTGCGGTGGGCGCATGCGAACGCTGGCATTTGAGCCTTCGGTGGGGCTCCCTATGGGTCCCCGAAGCGCATCAGGGGCGTGCCAAATGGGTGCGGGGGGCGCATGCGAACGCTGGCAAATGGGCCTTCGGTGGAGCTCTCTACAGGGCCACGAAACACGTGAGGGGTGTGCTGAAACGGGCGATGACGATGATGATGATGATGATGACGACGACGACGACGACGACGACGACGACGACGACGACGATGATGATGATGATGATGATGATGATCAGCACTCGGCGGACGACAGGTGATGGCCACGGCAGCGCAGCAGCGGCGGCACAGTGCGAGCTACGCGGCCTGGTCGGGCAGCTGGAACGGGTCCCTCCCCTGAGCCAGCAGCCGTACAACTCGGGAGCTGGTGCAGAGAGCTCTGAGACGGCTCTCAAGCGCACGCACCCCAACCTCCGATGACACTGCGCGACGAGTGCGGAGGGAGTTGAATGCAGAAAATACAAAGTCAAAAGCGATGGCAATCGAGCAAATTCGAGATTTGGACGGGCAAGGAAGATCGGCAAAGAACAGCGCAGACAAGTGGTCACCGTCCCCCCACTCTGTAGGGAGGAATGGAAGGCAGCGGGTGAGCACAGGACGAATTATGGGGCAACTCACATAGTGCTCTACAGAGTCGCCTCCCACAGCGTGACATCCGAACCGACATACTTGGGCTCCCTGGCGATATCG